ATCGAGTCATGCGTCTGGTTTGAAACATTTCCGGATCATAGTAGTCTGCGATGTCTGGCTCGCTCGTTGGAGAGGGGTCTCGCCTGCGTGTAGGAGCCTGCTTTGGTGATAAGTACTGTTCGGATGGTGGTGCACTGAATGTTGGGCGAAAAGCGGGTGCATCTGATCTCATTGTACTAGTCGTAGGTGTGTCTAATCTCATGGTGTTCTGTGCTACGACATCTGAATCGTGGGAGATTGACCTGCTTGCTGTAGGGACATCGTCCTCTGCATTTTGCATGCAGTTTCCAAGGCCCATGCCATCCATGTCTCTCTGTATATGTTCTTTCACCTTATTGTGTGTAGGAGCTGTGATAGAAGGACTAGGTGAAGGTGTCTGCGTAGGAGTCTTACTCCCAGAAGGTCCCTCTCCAAAGAGCTTAAAAACCAAGTGCTCAATAGCAAATCTCATGGTAGATCCAACTTTCATTCCATGGTCCATCTTAAAGTGATCAATCAACATATGCTTGACACCATGTCGCTCTGAGCTGATCTCAGCCAACAACCCCTGTGCAAGAGTGGTTTGAGGAACTGTCCCGGTACCTGATCCCTGCGCTCGCTGAGTACTATCTGTGTGTGTCTTTAATGGTGGAGAACTCATGTCGGCTCAGGGAGTACATCAGTAGTAGCTGTGGGAATAGGAGCTATGGAAGTAATAATAGGAGAAGTGGGTACCTCGATAGGAGCATTTGGAGTAGGCTCAGCAACTGAATGAATATACGGAGGTACCTCTGGATCAACTGTGATACGAGTAGAGTAGGAACTGCCGATGCAGATTCTGACTCAGTCACAACTGCGGTAGTAGTAGTGGGAAGCACAGAAGGCACTGCTGAAACTGGAACCCATTGCTTCTTTGGCTCCACAAACGTCACCTTGACCTTATCCTTATCAGTCCTAGTAATAGGGGGCCGAATAGGGGGTGCACAACAACTGCAGGAGGAGGAGGAGGAGGAACCGTAGTACACTGATCATAAGAATGACCCAAGTGTTTACAAGAGAAGCAAAAAATTGGCCGCTTCTCATAGATAACTGTCTGCCAGAAGCCACGGTTACCAGCACGCTCAATCCAAACCCTGTCGGGCAACTTATGCCCCAAGTTCACCTCAATGCACACCCTTGCCTCACTAGGCCGTCTCAAGTCGGTGGTGGCCTCATCAATTCTCAAGGGCATTCCTATTGCCCCAGATAAGGCGAAAAGGAACCCCTTCGCACGTAAATGTACTGGAAGCAGAGGGAACGATACCCATACGGGAACTATCGGAGTCTCTTGCTCAGGTGTAAAGTCACATGTCCACTTAAGGACTCTCATCGGACAACCATCAATATACCATGAAGGTTTAAGAAAAAGCCTGCTGTAATCCTCCTCATGTGTAAGGTGTATAAGAATGTGTGTTGTGTCAATCAGTCCCACCTCGAAACAACCATGGAACCCAAACTTAGAAAAATTCTCACGTACCTTCTTCATGGTTGGCTTGCGATGTGGAAATTTCCCCACAAGTGTATACTTGTAAGGATCAGCGAGTGTAGCCTCCTCGGACTCAGTCAAAACTATTGCCGGCTCACCTATATGTATAAAGGGTTCTTTAGCAGCAAACCCAGCAGTGGAAGAGTCATCTATACCCTGTATAACCGATGCAAATGACTTTCGTGAATTCCGTTCAGCTTGAGACAGGCCCGGACGGCCAGAAACTGCAGTAGCATAGGTCTTTCGGCCCTGATTGAGCACTGTCTGGGCCTCATGTGGAAAAACCGATGATGGAATTGGGTCCGTAATAAAATTCTCCACATTCTGGTGAAGTGTCACCGGCGCGTGACCACCACGCGCCGGTCGTTGACCGGCCGCGATTTTTCAACGGTGTCAGAAATTTATGATTTTTCACAAGGAGATGCGTAATTTCATGCTGATCATCACGGTATGTTCCGCTTTCCGAAACGAGTTCAGGATTGGCCGAAATCTACGATTTTCCGAGCGACTGGCCGGAAATTGCGATCGCCGGTGAGGGCGCGTCCGGAGTCGGAATTGGATGATTTTTTAGTCGAAGGTTTGCCTTTGCATGGGTAATCTTATGGTGAGGTGCGTGTCCCTGTTTGAGCTCTGTGGAAGGGTTAATTGAAAAATCAGTTTTTGGTCCCTCGGGATCCGATCTATCAATTTCGGGCGATTCGGATGAAATCTCTACCACCCCCAGGGTTTTCGGCTCTTCTGGAATCATTGGTGATGGTCCCAGACCCTGATTCAATGTGTAGGGGGGTGTTTCGACGACCTTGGGATTCATGCCATGATTTTTCAAACTCAGATCTATTGAGTTGGGGGATGAATCTGATATTGGTGTTATAGGAGATGTTTGGGTGGTTGTTGGTGATGATTTTACACCACTTAGAGTGCTGCAATCCGGTGGTTTTGGTGGTGGATCAAGTTTGTTGGAGTTTTGGAGGTTTTCTCCCATTCTAGAGAGAAGGGAGAGCGTTTTGGAGGTAGAGAGAGAAAAAGGTGGGCATTTTTGGTTTGGGGTTTGGGGTTTGGGGTTTAGGGTTTAGGGTTTAGGGTTAAGGGTTAAGGGTTAAGAGTTTAAGGGTTTAAGGGTTTAGGGTTTAGGGTTTTTTTTTTTTTT